ACACATTTTTCTCTGAATCTTAAAAAATAAGCTTTTTTTTTCTTAGAGTGAGTTGTTTACCAGAAATGGTGCAGTTTTAGATGACAGACTACAGAAACTAGAGGGGAAATCCGTAAAGTTTGTGGTTTTCTCCTACAAACCAACTCTATTGAAGTTTTATTACAAGTGAAAAATTCGATAATTATCCTACATGACAATCTACGACCGCTGATTATATTTCATACTTTGACAAGTTTGTGCCAGGTTTGACTTGAATGAATTTGGATTCTGTTGAGCCATACGCTACAACGGTACATATGCAATTTTTTTTTTTTGACGTGTCAGCATCTCGATGATAGTCGGTTTGATATGCGTTTAATATGCGTCACGTTGTGTTGTGCATGCACAAATGAACACACAGAAGGAACAAAAAAATCAGGGTTTATAGCTTGTCAAACTGTTTAACATCTGTTTGAGATCTTGTGCAGATTTTGGCAGGTTGAGCCCTGGTCTGTAAAGGGATAAAGTAATTGCCATTTCAGGGTTTGAGCTCCTTACCAGTGCTCTGATTAACTTAGGAACTTTTGCACAGCTGGAATGGATTATGCCTGCAAGTGTGTAATGTATTTATGGCAGGTCAGACTCATATCTTGACCTGACAAATTAAAACCAACAAATTTTTTTTTATTTACAGCGCAAAATTGACAGCTCCCATCTCCGTAAACACACTGGTTATTGTACGRGACTATTATTTAGCTTAAAAAACACTATTTGCTGATATTTACTGTGAGAATACTTAAGCCTGAACTTATTCTAATAATATAATGAGAACTTCAGGATATTAAAATGTCATTTATTATTAGAACTATTGGTATAAACATAACTGAAAACTTGTTATTGATATTTTTTTATTCAAAAACTCAAACTGTGGCAAACAATATAGCTTTTTTTATTCAACACTGTCATGAGCAGTTTTTAGTTTCCGTATTACAAGTCATTTTTAATGTTAAGTGTAAAATCAGTTTGATAGACGAGAAACACAGAGTCTAAATATAAAGCAGATCCTTCCCTTCTGACATGCCAAACTCAAGAGTGATTAAAAGATCCTGAATCTGTATGTTGCTAATGGGATTGTCATCAGAAATTAAGTGGTTTTCAAGAGACCACAAACCATCCTCTGACCTTATCTTTATTGTCTACATTGCTTTCCTCCTTGGCCAGGTTCCCTGGCTGCTAATATGCCTAATACTTAATCAAGCTGTCATTACAAGTCCCCATAATAAATATCTTTAGCTGAGTTAAACGATGGTGGTAAAAAAAAAAAACATTTCCCACACAACCCATCTGTAACTATGCCTGATGATATATAGGTAGCAGGATGCAGAGGACACATTTCCCAGAGCAAGTAGAGATGAACTAAATTAAGTCGCGGAGACAGGAAGAGGCAGAAAAATCAGAAAAAAATTACTACAGGCCTGATCTAAATTAGTGACACTTTGATTTCAAAATTTTAAACACATTCAGAAGTAAATTCAAAATACTTAATAAAACAGTCAGTAAAAAAAATGTCCAAATTTGTTGAGCAACAGCTGCTGAAAATGCAAGTGCACAGAGCAAAATAAAGCTTTGCTGTAATTATGAACTAATAAAATGGATTCCACGACAYATAGATTCAGCTTCGGGTCTGGCAGAATTGTTGGAATTTTGTAACCAGAGTCTGTGCAMTAGTGATGGGGGAGGGGCATTAAGTCCCGCCTACTTTTCTGCACACAATCATGATGTCTGCATGAAACAACTGCTTACAGCTAAAAATATTAGAAAAAAATAGTATCTGAACATACCGGGTAGGAACTATATGAACCATCACATATTTAAAAATCATACGAGAGGTGATTTATTTATTTATTTATTTATTTATTTATTTATTTATTTATTACAAAGTCAGTTTCCCGTTTGTTCACATGAAAAGGGCAAGACATGAAACTCGTACTGGATCCAGCCCTACAGGGAATCTGGTCCCGTTCCAGCTTTAACTTCCAGGTCTTTGCGGGTGAACCCATAAAAACTTCCTGTGGATCATCCATTGCACGAGTTTCTCCTTTTGTTTCAGAAGGTAGTTTGTGARGCTGGATGTGTGTCTTTAGCTGTTGTGACCAAAATAAATTAGGGATTAGGCCTCTCTGTTGTTGTTTTTTTTTTTTAATCATGGATTGGAATTTATTAGCAAACATTTGCAGATTATTGCTTTTATATCCAATGTTTTCATTGCAAACCAAGCTGTGTTGGCTGTAAATACAAAATATGAGCGAATCTCTCAACAGCTTTCTCTAATTTCTTATAATTTCTTATTGTGTTTATTCAAATGGACTTGTCACCTGTGGTAGCTGTTGCTGGTTTTCTGTAGGATTTGGGATACATTTGGTGATTTTTACTATCTCAGAAAGGCCCATCATCATCAGATTAAAAAAGAGATCTAATAAAACCACACTGATTCTGGTAGTTTGTCAGTTCTTAACTTTTATGACAGAAATATTGATTGGGAAAAATAAAAAGGTTTCTTTTTACATAGTTAAGGGCTCTCTTTGCCTGCTTTATAGAACAAAAGCTAAAAAAATGAAGTGCAAATATGATGAAAAACAGAGGGTTCTGTTAGAGCAGAGGAGCCCAAAGTGGGGCCCGCGGGCCAAATTTGGCCCTCCAAGCCATTTGATTTGGCCCAACAGCAGTTGCCATATTTCGTAGGTTGTAACCTGTTGTACTATGTAGAACGTAATCATTTCTTATTATACATAAGTAGTTTTTTCTCGCACAGACTAAAACAAAACTGGGCCACCGTATTGGCTGCTAGCTTAATCATTAAAAACAATGGACTTTAATTAAAAAATATCTGTATTTCATGTATTATATTATCACATTTGGCCCGCAGCCCTGGATAGATTTTCATTTTGGCCCTCTCGAGGAAAATGTTTGGGCACCCCTGTGTTAGAGGAAAGTTGATTTAAAGCTCAAAGGAAAAAAAAATACAAGAAAGACATGTTTAAATCGGAATAATTTTCCATATTGACTACTTAAATTGCCAGGAAATACCTTAACGTAACATGTTGATTTGTCTGTGTACATTTTTAAGGTTGACAGGTTGCGACTGTGTATTTGTTTTTGTAGAAAAATAGTGAAATCCCCTCTCTTTTCTTTGTAGCATTTGATACTTCATTTTTCCTGCTTACGGAAAAAGCAATCACACTAAAGCAAATACAAACCAGGAATGAAGGCAGAGCTAATGAGCAGAAGGAGGTTCCAAAAGAACTGCTCGTACTATTCCATTCAACAAAAGCTGCAAAACAAAAAAACACACAAAAAAAAAAAAAGTCTTGGAAAAACCAACTGAATCGGCCYGTTACATTTGCGGCGCTCCGCTGGTGCCGTTTCAAGCGACACACAAACTTGTTAAAGACGCCGCCAAAGACAGACGGGTTATTTATCAGAGATTATACAATCGTTAGAAGATTAATACCCCTGGGGAGCCTAAAAGACTCTGAGTTGACTTTCATCTCAGACCTGCCTCAACAGAGAGAGCTGAGGTTAGAGAGACAGGCTTGAAAGAGGTGAAGCAGACTGTCAGAAGACAGAGAGTCTTCAAACGCTGCCGTACTGCTGTGTGTGTGTGTGTGTGTGTGTGTGTGCGCGCACAGGTTCGTGTGTTCATCGCTTTAACCCCATAATGAGTAGCCTTGAGGGGGTCCATAGCCATTTGGCAGTTCTTCATTTCCTGATTTGAAAAAAAAAAAAGCACCATCAAGCCTTTTATCTCTACAGCACTGACACAAAAATACATACAGAGGCACTCACACACAACACATACCGGTTGTGGTCTCACCACAAAGTTTTGCACAATTAAGCTTACTTTGCTCTGAGAAGTGAATGTGGTGTGCATTTACAGGCCAGATATTTATATGTTAATGTGTGTGTGTGTGTGTTTGTATGTGTAGATGCCGTAATTAAGCAAAATCAAACCGCTACAGTTGAAATGTTAGCCATCGTCGAAGATCTAAAGTCTGCGACATGGAAGAGTGAAATCCAAGGTTTGGAGCCAGACAGACAGATTTTGACCTCAGATTGCAGATAATTGTGGCTTCCTTCTTTTGTGTCTCAAACACACAAACATTAACACACACTCCCACCCACACAGCCATACACACACACACACATACCCAACTTCAAATAGATTTTAAGCTCAGCTACTAATGTGGACTGAATTTGACTTGAGGGTACGTCAAGGAAAATAATAACACTTTTTTTTATACCACCCTGTCAGCTTATAGCTTCCACCTTTTTTGATTTTGACAACTAAAGCTACTTTACGAAGGTTAGAAAAACACCAGATTTATAGGTAATGACAACCAGAATATGTCTTTAAATACGCATTAATGATGCTCCAGCTAAGTTGAAAAGAGCTTCAGAAAAAAAATAAAAACATTCTGTTTTTCTTTGAAGTTGTAATTTCGAAATAATCCGATTTATTTCTACCCGAGTAAACAGTTTTGACGTTTGACTGTGAAAATGATTGAAAAGCAAATGATTCTGAATGCAATTTGCAGCTGACAAACCTTTTTTAAATCTTTGATTTGAAATTTGCAAATTTCATACACAGATTATTGTGACGCCAAACAAATTGTAAGAAGTTGGACATGCAGTCCCACTTGTTTGTCYTTTCTGCTGCAATGTTGTCAAGTGATTTCACTAACCTTTTGAAAAAAAAAGAAGAGCAGTGAGATGTGCTCATAGTTATGAGCCAAAAATAATGCCGTAGGCTGCTCTACTGCTATTACTTGTTTATTGGCTATGATGTGATGCTAGCAAGCTACTGACTGAATACAGGCCACCCACATTTGCACCATGACAGGCAGCACTGTTGTTACCTCACAGACTGGCAATAGAAGTTTACTGCAGGTGGTTGTAAAAGTTGGTATTATTTTAGTTACAAGACTGAGGATTTTAAAAATTGTATTTTTTTCCACTTCCAGGAAGAAAACAAAAAAAATGTCAAAGAGGAGGGGTCAGAAGAAGTTTGTCTTTTTGTCCTTGTTGGTAAGTTTCCCTTCTCAGTCTCACTTATAGTCCAACTCCTCTCCTTTACCTTCATGTGACCTCACAGAGCTCATTTCATCACCTTCCCTTTTCTTTTTCTTCTCTGATTTTATCTGCATCCCGTGTTTCATTTTCTTCACATTCCCTCGTATCTTTACATCGTCTTACTTGGCCTTTGTGGGATTTAAACTTTGGGAAAACCTGTTGATCCAGCAGAAAACTGCAACAGTACAGTTGATTCAAGCAGTGCATCATTCACACTTTGCACAACTCACCACTTGTACCAGTTAGTAAAACTTCGAGTTTTGCAGAAGCAGATTTATTTATTTTTTCTATATAATTTTAGTTTTGATGTTAAAATGCTTTGGTAAAACTCCTAAAAGTTCCCCAGCACTTCACCCTCTCTGCYTCCTCTGTCTGTTATCCTGTCTTGTTGCAGGTTAAAACTGGAGCTGTTGGTCAAAAACCAAGAAATATATCAATTACCTTATGAACTACAAGCCACAGGATGTGTTATGCTGAAATATGCGCTCTATGTTTTGTTGCTTTATTGAATTTCTTCCAAAGCAGTGTGACAGTTTTTTTTTACAGTTGGCATAGTGAACTGCTATGATAGAAACAATATATATACACTGTGATCCTGGAATTCAAACTGAATTCAAACTTAAGGTAACAATAGAAATGTCTTTTTTTTTGCATTAAAATATCTGAATAAGTTTTTTTTCTCTTTGCATGTGCACTATAGCGAGAACACAGTGATGTATTAGTTGGCTTAGAGGTTTTTGATGGATCATGGTTTTGTCTCTCACTAAGTCTCTTTAATCTGGACTCAGCGGTTTGCCTGTTACTCACAAAAAATTTAGTCACTAGATTTATTTATTTATTTATTTATTTATTTATTTATTTATTTATTTATTTATTTATTTATTTATTTATTTATTTATTTATTTATTTATTTATTTATTTATTTATTTATTTATTTAATTTGAAGGGACCGCAATGGGAGGGATGTGCAATCAGTTGCAGTTCACAGCTTCACCACTAGATGTCACTAAATCTCCCATTCCACTAACAATCAAACTGTTGAACTGTATTTACATCAACTGTACTTCAGGCATGTAAACTAAGGGTCAGTCTGTTTTTKGGGGGGGATCTGGTTTGTATTGTTATCCGGTCATCTGGCCAGAAAAGAACAGGCTTGTGCGCACAAACACTTTTTTTTAACATTGCCTTGTGTCTGCCGACAGAAGACGGTTAAGAAGGATAGAAAGAGAAAGATGTTATTAAAACAACAGAGTAAAGATGGAGAGACTTAGTCATGCAATCATTTATTTTCTCTTCATCATTTTCTGGACTGCAGATGATAAAAGTCAGTTAGTTTGTTTGGAGAAGGACAAAGTCTGCTGGAAAAAGCTATAAATACCAGCTGCTACTTATTACATTAGGCCACAGTGACACAATGCACACACACACATACACATGCACAAACACACACACATGCTCAGTCGTGTTTCCATCACTGCGGGGGGCATTACATTGACTTCAGTTTTCTGAAAATGTACCCCAAAACCACAACTTGCCTAAATTTAAAGTTACCACAACTTTAACCCCCACAAAACCCAACTGTTTAATATAGTCTTCACATAAAAATTAATGGTTGTTGTTTTGGGGGATTTTTGTTTTTTTGTCTGTAAAAGCGAGGCGTCTTATTTCCACTCAGTGATTGTGTAAACGCATCGAAGCCCCAACAACGAGAGCAAAGCAAGAACACAAACGCTACAAGAGCAGATGCTGCGATTGTGCAACCTTCTTGTTAGAATCACAAAATGCTAACAATCTCAACAAATTTTAGTTTTAAAGACAAAAACTTCAAGATATAGTTATTGTTTCTTTTCATTTTTTTCAGTTTGATTTATAAAATAAAGCTTTTGATCCTTTGCTACATGGTTTGGGGTATGAGTTAATAAATGCATCATGCAGGGCAGTTTGACACCTGTTTTTGTTACAGGTTGGCATCATAAAGGCAAACCTTAAAACTGACTCACTTCACAAAAAAATCATTAATAAATTTATTCTTTATGCACACATATAAATATTACACTTTCAAAAACCTGTCCTGATGTTTATGGACTGCTATCAAAAGGCAAAAAGATTATAAGGTTTTTGCTTCTGCCTGTGAGTTTGTCTGTTAATTTAATATTGTTTTGTTGCAGCAGATTAATGAACATTGATTTAATCCCTTTTGATTTTACCCTCAGGTGTCAGCTTACAGTTTGGAGAAGTCTGTCAGAGCGTGGTTACGTTGGTTCTGAATGTGCAGTTTTGATTCTGTTTAGCATCTGTCTCCACTCATTCTGATCTCCACCTGCCTGTTTTTTTTTTTCTTTTTTGTTTCCCCCGTCCCCCTCCAGGTGTCTTGTATRCTTGCTGGTGCCGAGTACTCTAGCTGCGGAGAGTACGAGTTCTTCAACCAGACCAGCAATAGCTGCCAGGCCTGTCCTCAGTGCCAGCCGGGGCAAGAACCACACATGGTGAGAGTATATACAAACACACACAGAGGAAACACACGTGAAAACTGTTCATTTAGGGCGCAGTTCTGTTTCTTGTATTTAAAATCGACTTCTTTGTGTATTTATATCTCTTGAATTCATTTTAAAGCAAGTTTGTTAACTAAAGAAGAAAKGTAATTAAACAAGGCTGTTCAAAAGTGATAAATATCACAAGAAACTGAGAGTTTGATATGTGTAAGGTTCTGCTCAGACCACCCACAACACACAAGTCGGACTAAATTGAACGCGCACACAGCTGCACAGTGAAGGGTGCCTTGATTCGAATGAACAATTCCTTCATGGATTTTTGCTCTTATGGACACAAATGTGAAGGCACGCACGGCCCTGGATAATTTACTGCAGTCACATTTTGATTTAGCCTTCATCTGCAGACAGCCAAAGTCAACACAGAGCAGGTAAACGCTTCAGTGGGCACCCCGGGGTGCCACACCCCTCCTCAAAGAGATGGCTGCAGCCAACAGTGAACAGAGGGAACTGTATAGCAGTGGTTCCCAAMCYTTTTATCTTCTGACCCACAAAATATCCATGGCAAAAACTTGTGACCCCAAATATTACTGGTCTGAGTACATGAACTTTGTTAATAACCCTAAAAACACAGGCTTTTTGACAATCTGAACAGCTTGTACACAAATATAAATACATACTGTATTTATAATTATTTAGTGTTTTTGTAATAATTAGAGGGAAAATATTACATCAGTAATTATTTTATTACCCTTTAAATTGATTTCTGGAGATTATCCAAGGTGCTTCATGACCCATAATTGGGTCCCAAGCCCAACTTTGGGAACCAAAGTGCACTGGTTCCCGAACTTTTCAGCTTTTGAAGTGGTAAAGACCTGTGCCTCCAACTATTTTTGAATGGTAAACATTTGTATCAGGTCAACAAAACA